TACTCGGTGTTCGCAGAGAACGAAAGAGAGAGATTCTTCCGTCACTGTCTGCCCTTGATTGGTGCAGCTCACGGAATCCGAGTGGTCGATTGCACACCATCAGGAATGCTGCAGAGGTCTCAAGGTGATCCAACGAGGCCTAAATGAGAGCCGCCACGCCGCCAAGACGATTTAGACACTTGAGAAAAGTCTAGATCATGTTGGCGTACAGACTTTGTGTGATTCTATGTTAGCCATGGTGTTGGTGGTTGCCCATTTTGGAGAAAAGCAGGGCGCCGAGGGACCTTCAAACTCTACACAGTAGTAAGGCAAATCACCATGATCCGCGTTACCAAATCCCAGTCAGACCATTTTCTCCTTTCCAAGACGGCTTGGCATTTCCTTGGGAGAAGGTAGTCGACAACAGAAGCTAGCCGGATTCCGGATTCCGAAAGACCCAAGTAAAAGTCTCCGTTCCAGATCTCCCGATCGGAGGCAGATGCAGCAGCTTTACAAAGTAGCCGCCGGGTTCATCGTGAAGACTGTAGAAAGCATCCACATCATCCATGGACACACCTCGCATACCGCTTCGGGACCTAGACTCCCTTACTTGGCCCGCGAAGAGAGCAGACACATCAGGTAGACAACCTCAGAGGTGCGACGGACTACGACGGACACACCCGACTTGGCGATAAATCATAGATCTCAGGTGATGGGTTTCACTACGCCCTGAATGGGAGTCACGAATACTAGGATAGAGTCTCGATACAGGGTGAAGGCTTGTCGTAGGCCAAGAGAGGAGGGGACTGTGGTCGCGGCGAATAGCGCCTCGGATGTTAACCTAAAAGGTTCGGGACGGGGAATGCAAAAGAAGCGGCAAAGCCTAGGAGACACCGGTGAATACTAAATCGCATTGGAAGCGACGTGGACGGCGCCGTGTCTTGACTAGCCGACGCCGGCTCTATAGAAGACTGTGTGACTGGGATATGTGGTTTTGCTGCACTCTACGAGGTACGCAGGCCAGACTGAGACGACTTCACTCATGCCAGCTGATGTGTCTGGCGATTCGGCACTGACTTGATAGCGCTCGTCGGAGCCTTATTGTCTGATTTGAAGCTTTCGACCGCTTCCGGCCCTGACTTTCAGATGCTCTTGACTTGTCTGAATCTCAGCATTAATCAGTCCCCATTACGATCAAAGCGCATCGGTTACTTGAGATCTTGAACTCAGCTGTGTTGTCTACAGCGCTATTCCTAGTGGGAATAATGCGTCGTGTGGTTTCCATTCCGAGTTAAATCTCAATCAATCAGCTTCTCTGGTCAAAATGACTACGGATACACAAATAGATCGACGAGTTTGAGACGAGGTAGATGGTCGTTTTCTGGCCAATGCAGAGAGTGTGTCGCGTGTCGTGTCGGCCGGCGGGGGTTTGGGTGCGAGAGTCGAGACTCGGCCGCTTGCCTCACTTTAATTCGGCCGGCCCTGCAAGCAAGTCGCGTGCTTCTTAGCTCAGACTGAAGCTGGGTGATGCGGGTCCACGGTGAGGAACACTCAAAAATACGCAAAAGCTCGATTGAGCCGTAGGACTGTGTCTGTTTTGAATAGGAGCAGGTTGTGAACCGTGGGACAGAATGCTGCGACAGTGTCATGAGGGTAAAGTAGCCGTATGGGCTGATTATGTTGCTGGAGCTGCGTGTCAGAGTGTGCGCGCCGTGCTATCGATGCGGTTCGTCTGGAGCGGGCAACAGAAAAGGGAAAAAAAAAGAAATGAGAGACACCCGTCGGATTCAGAGACGGGCAGGACGGCAGCACGGGCAGGCGCAAGCAACGGCTGCGGCAACGGCAACGACATAACGGCAGGCTGCCCCCGCCTTGAGCCAGTCAGAAGCAACCTGACGGTGTGTGCATGTGAGTTGGACGGGAAAGGAAGGGACGATGAAAGACGGATGAGAGGAAAATCCAATCGCCAAGATCGCTGGCCAGCCACGAGTGATAAGCTTTGCCAAGAGGAACAGAGCCAAGACGGGCAGGTGTGGGAAAGACGGGGTGTCGGGTTGGGGAAGTTTAGGAAGGAAGCACGAAGAACGGGGGAAAGAAAGAAAGCACAAGCCACCTCATCTGCTTACCGCACCTTCCCACGCTTTCCTTACGGATACTTAGGTATACCTACCTTAGCATACCACCTACCTATCTGATGGTGCAGGCTGTAGCTAGGTGGCGATCACGACACATCTGTACCTGAGAACACGACACTCACGTATGGCACCATCGAAGCGTGCCAATTCGTCCGGCTGCAAGCTACCAAGGGTCCCAGAATAGGTAACTTAGCAAGCGCCCTCCCGTGCCTCCCTCCCATAATTCCATCTGTACCTACTGCGTACATACAGACTAAGATACACACGATTATCTGCGGGGTTGAATGGGGCCAATACCATCTAACATTGGCCACTGGATTGGACAGTAGAGCCAACAACAGGTTTTGGCCCGGCTGCCACCTGCCGTCTGCCACTCCCCGTCTGCAGCAACGTAGGCCAAGTCGATATGCTTTGCCGGGCACCGACATCACCTCACTCTCCCTCGACACATGTATAATGTATTACACCATTCGCACGAATACTGGCACATCAAGCATCCTTCCAAACAAGCAACACCCAGAAAACTTTTTAGAACCCCTGTGTCGATGAGGATTTGCCGTTGGCCTGAGCTCTTGATCCCCTTTTTGCGGACTCGGGATCGATGCAAATGGCCGAGAAGGGACGGACGGGAAGCTTGTTCGAAAGCAAAAGAAAAATCAATCCTAGCGCCTCATATCCGTCACAAAAGACAGGGCTACGCCGCCCAAGGACCTGCTTAGTGGTGGCCTGTAAGTGGTGGTTTTTTCTGCACAGGTTTCCCCTGCTCATTTCCAGCAAGGTACGTACTCGGCCAGTCACCCATTTGGACGTTGGTCCGCGTCCATGGGTTGCGGATGACCCGCAGTTCTCGCCCAAAGACTCTGCTCATTGGACGTCTCTTGACCGGATGGGTGAGCCCGGGGCAAGGGGCGTGGTTGCAAGAGGGAACGCCGTGCCCGGGACCCCTGGCACAGTGTGGGATTCTTCCGCAACGCTGGCCTTTCATCATTTCCTCATCCAGCCCAGTGGCCGCCGAAGCGAGCCAGCCCTGGAAGACTGTCAGCACTGGGGCTCCTTCCGTTCTCCTCTCCGTCTTGGTAGCACAAACCGTCCGTTCGTTCAATTCTTCCCGTCTCCGTATTGAATCGACAGCGATCACAAGCATAAACTACGGATACGCTTTCACCTCTATTTTAATTAGAGTTGGCAGAGCCACGATAGGCGACGATGAGACCGAATTCCCTGATGTCACCGCTCCCCCTCAAGCTTTCATCAAGTTCAGAAAAAAACAAAAACAAAGGTAACGAGTGATGAATCGACAGGGTGAGAGTCGAGTAACAGTCGAGGGGTTACACTCCCTTTTGCCCTTTTCCCGTGTTTCATGAGCCAAGACAAAACGCTCCGAGCTCAGTACTCAAGAGACGACTGGCCGGCCATCTGATTTCTGTACTTGATCAGCGCGGCTGCCCTTCTCCGTGTCAGGGTGCTCCCCTCGAGACGGGGAGGCTTAGACACCCACCGTACCACCGCACCGTTCTCGTTCCCAGCTTTACCATGCGTGCTATGGAAGTTGCGGCCAACCCTCGCGGACACGCTCTTTCTTCACTTCAACGGTGGGCACGGCGATGCAGCCTGCTATTGTCTAGCGCCGGGCGTACAGTGTCTTACTCCCCAGAGTACGTACTCTTTCTGTATTAGATAATGTCTACTCCGTACTACTTATTTTTGTAGGTAGGGACACCCACGATGCAGGTGGCTGACGGAACTGGCGGCGTCCACTTGCCTGGCTCACCTGGCACGCTGGACTAGGTAGGTAGGTATTCCAGAACAGTACCGAGTTGACTTCTCCCATTGTCGCCGGATATCGAGCAGCACCGCGTTCCGCTTGCCCAATCCGTTAGATGGTGGCGCGCTTGAGTGATTCTTCCTGACTGCCCGGCGATACCTCAATAGTCGAATGCCAGCCTCAATTAGACGACGACGGACTCTCCACTGCAAGGACTCGTGACAGCCCGGGAAGAAGCTTTCTTGAACGAGCCTTTTGTCACACCACGCGAAGCAGGACGTGAACGACAGCCGACAGACTGATTTGTTCTCTAATACCAACTTTCCCCTCCCGTCTGATCTCGATGGCAGCGCTCGTCCTGCGTGCTCATAGTGCAAAGCTGACGAAGAAGGGGCATGGGCGGGGTCTTTGCACGCCTTCTCACTGCAATTTCAATGCGACGGTATTGATTTTCAGACTTGGTGCCTCTTTGGAAGCAAGTCAATCAATTATTCGCAGCCATACCCTGGTGTCGGATAGCACGCGTCGTACCTACTGTACTTTGGTAGGTACGCCATACTGCGTGCGTATCTTGTCTCCCATCGGACAATCCACCGAAGCTGGAGCCAGCGTCCTCACAGATCGACGATGGATTGCGGAATGGCGTCCGGCATTGCCATGCAGAGTCGGAAGCTTCTTCACACGCCTTCTTGCCAAACGGCGAAGGACCCTTTTCTTGGTGTCTGTAGATCGCCCCGAATCTCGTCGGGTCTGCCAAGCTGTCACTACACGATCGCGCAGTGCTTCGCGACAACTCTTGAGAGAGCCGGTCCCTCTGACTCGGGAATTCACAGTACAGCAACTGTGCGCTGGAGATGAGGGCTACATGAGCCCCACTCTTTATGCCACGGCATCCGCGTACAATTACCGTGGTCCGAGTCGTATCCGATAGCATCAAGCACAGTTAGCGGAAACGCAGAGCCGGGGAGGGTGTGTGGATAATCCCAGTCGCACGGCTTACAGTGTGCTTCGCCTTACTCGCACCAAACCACCTACCGCCCCGGCACCCCCCTCGAGAATCAGAATGACACTGGTAGAGTCGCTGCCTCCCCCCCAATTCTCTCCCATATCCATCCGCGTCCCCCCGACTTGCTATTCCAAAACACTTTCGAGACGGTCTACGACTCCACCAGACGAGCAAGAACAGCCAGATCTGGCCAGCACCAATCTAACAAAGCGCAACACCGTACACGCCATTCAGCACGCCGTCTTCCCCTCTACGGCGACTCAGCAGCCCCCCCAGAAGTAGCTTTTACACTCTCCTTTCCCCCCGGCCTCCTTCTTTTGCCTTCTCTTTCCCCCGTATTCTCTTGTCCTCCCAAAATCTCTCGGCGCCCAGCCTGCGATCCCTCCCACATCCCCCACACGCAAGCCTTCTTGGAACGCTTTCTACCGACAACCTCAACCTCGACCCGGTTTATTAACAATTCGATTGTGACCTTTGGCTATTTTGGTCTTCGCCTGGGAGAACTTGGAACATTGACGATTGCTTCGAACCAACTGCTCAACCCTTCAACGACTCTGTGCGCGACTTCAGAACGCCTGGACTCGTATCCTCGACTCTCGCCGCACCCATCCGCCCGACCGAGTCCCGGAACTCGCGTCGCTCGACGACAACAACTCGACGCCTACGTCAATCAACACTGCGAATCCACCGACGACTGCGAAGCTTATTCGATGGCGAGTGTTCGCGAATAGGACGAATCTTCTTTCGATCCTCGCCTGCGGCTGGCCGCTCTGTTCTTCATCGACAAGCATCCGACGAGTCGGCGCCGCCATCATGGTAGATTTCGCCGCAGCCGCGAGTCCCTTGCCCTCTCTGGGCGCCGCCGGGGCAGCAGCCGCGAAAATCGCGACCGCTGCGCCTATTATTATCGCGAACAATGGCATCAACTATGAAGAAACCACGACCGGAGGCGCGGTACAATACAACGACCTGCGTGACCCCTTCTTCGCCTCCATCTTCCCCGTCTGCTACGCCCTCGCCGCGACGACAGTAACAGCATACATGCTTGTGATCATGCTTTTCATTACTCCCCGATCATTTCTCGATGGTGGAGTGGTATACCTGGGCCGACGCGGGTTTACGAGTGGTGGAACATCGAATGGAATCAGCATCGGAGGTCGACCATGGCTGCAGAAGGTGGCCGCCGTCACCGTTGCAATTTCTCTCACAATAGCAAGCGCCGATACTTTTAAAGTTGCCGAGCAACAGTACCAGTGGTCAATTCAAGACGCCAAAAAGATGCAATCGGAGGTTATGGACGGAACCGAACTGAAAGTCATTCGCCTCATTTCAGACACCTTTTTGTGGCTTGCACAAGCCCAAACTCTCATCCGACTCTTCCCACGTCAGCGGGAAAAGGTTATTATCAAGTGGACTGCCTTTGCGCTGATTACGTTGAATCTCATCTTCAGCGCCTTGAACAGCTTCCAGTACCCCACCAGCGGGAGCAACGGCAACGCCCGTCCACGAAGCTTTGTGGACGCCGTGCCCGCTCTCAGTTACCTATTTCAACTGTCCCTCGGCCTGTTATACGCCGCATGGGTCATTTACTATTCACTTATGAAGAAGCGATACGCCTTCTACCATCCCTTGATGAAGAACATGATTCTGGTTTCTACACTATCACTCTTCGCCATTCTTGTACCAGTCGTTTTCTTCGTACTGGATATGGCACAGCCAGAATTCGCTGTTTGGGGAGACTACGTTCGCTGGGTCGGTGCTGCAGGCGCCAGTGTCGTGGTTTGGGAATGGGTGGAAAGGATTGAGGCATTGGAAAGAGAAGAGAAGAAGGACGGTATCTTAGGACGCGAGATTTTCGACGGCGATGAAATGCTGGAGGTCTCAGCGTCCGAGTTCCCATGGCTTAGGAGAAGAAAGAACAGAAACGGTGGTAGGGATGGTGACGGTGGCGAAGACGGACCTCAGGGTGGTTCTGGCGCTCAAGGTCCTCCCTCGGCCGAGCGAGGCAATCTTTGGCCAGGCATGACACAAATCGCCTCCAGATATCGCTCCAATCACGCCCACACCAACTCAGGAGCAAACAACCAAGGCGGCCAGAGATCAAAGGGCGGTCTGTTGCGTCCGCCCATGTGGCCCTCTCGGCCCGCACCTGCGGTGACGCCCGTCAGTCGTACAGACACAGCCAGCGCAGCGAGCACCGTATACGCTGTAAGATATCAGCTGCCTTCAGAGACAACTTCACGGACACCAGAGGCAGTCATCCGAGCTGCCAACCAAAGGAACGCTGCAGCTGCCATGTCGAGGAGTAACTCGACATCATCTAGGAGCGAGTCGACAACGAGTGACGACGAGCTGTCGATGGCGGCGCCCGTGCCAAGACAAGCAACGCACAAGACTGTTGAAATCGACACAGAGGCCCAGGAGGACATGACAGAGAAGAACCGCAATGGATGGAGATCTTTAGTGGCCAATCCACTCTTCCGCCGCACTGCTCGCGATCCACCAGCCGAGGTGATGGCCCACACCGAGTCAAAGCCCGAGGTGCGTGGTGGTCACGATGATGCGGGTAGATGGGATCTCCGGGCTCGTTTGGAGGACTTTGCTGCCACGCAGGCCGAGAAGATCAGAGAGAAGATGCGACCAACTCCCGAGACAGATAGCCTTCCGGTGACTGTCATTCCTGCGCCACCAAGACAGGGAGCGGCACTGGCCCAACTACTGGAAGAGGAACAGGACCAGGAGCAACCGGGTCTCAGCAGAACCATCAGCGACGCCTCTGCACTCTCGCCTCAAGCTGCGGCTGGTCTGGGAAGGACGCAAAGCAATTTCTCTCGTCGGTCCCCTGCCGCAGGTCAAGGTCAAGAGCCTGCCACTCTTCAGCTAAGCAGACCACCTCTCTGGCCTGGAGTAAGAACCCAACATCAGGACTTTGAGCCGCATTCACCAAATGTGCCGCCTACGCCCTGATGATGAGTCTACGCGGTTTACGAGTTTCTTTGTCGATTATTCAAAAGCGTGGCGCCGTGGCTTTCTAACTCTTTTGCATCACGAGCAAGCATAACGGCGCATTACTACGGGAGAACGGATGACTCTGGCACGAGTCTCGATTGGTTGTTCAAATTCAAATTCAAAGTGTATATTGCAGATGGAGTATATGGGACTGGGGAAAACGCCCTCACGAGGAAGCGGAAACCAAAAATCTTTCGCAAATAATGAAGAGGGGACCCAATCGTGGTTTCATGTACATGTTTGGGGAATACGGAACGAAAGCCTACAGTTGGGCGGATGCAGCGTATAGAAACGGGGCGTTTTGCGGCTTTGTGTTTTTTCAGCCTGGCCAACAGGTGATCCCTCCCTCTCAGAGCAGGAGATGGTGATCAAGCCGCGCGCGCTGTATCAGACGGGGCCTCATGTTGTGGAGAGATATCTGCGAGCCGTAGCCAAACTGTGGTGAGGTGGTGGAAGTGCGCAGTACCAGGGGCCGCTTGGTGTATGGACATGAGGTGGTGAGAGGCAGAATAAGCGATAGCCGCAATGGTTTCAATAGGTTCAATGGAAACCTTTCCAAATTACTTGTTTACACCTGCTCAACGTGAATCGTACGACCCTTTACTGGACGACCATGTCAGATTGATGCATGCTCAAAGAGTCATAGTTGACATCCATACTTGTAAACTGACGAACATCAATAGATGCACAGAAGTCACATTTGAGACCACGTTTGCCGCCCACCGAGTTGGCAGCATCTATCTTTCTATTTCTCGTATCCTTGGCCTAGCCTATGCCAATTGGCAAGGCCGAGTCGTAGACCTCATTTCATCTGCCAGACTGGTACTTGGGGCAGACATGACACGGAGGCCGCGTAGTCGGGAGCTTCAGGAGCGTGTTGTATCACCACCACCACTACAACCAGCAGAGATCGCCGGAGTGTTCCACCGGCAAACGGCGAAGTGAATGTGAGAGAGAGCAAAAGTGCGGCCAGTATCCGTAGCACCCCCGTGAAAACTCTACCTTTCCAATATGACGGGAAAATCTTTCACTGTATTGGGTCTTGGCACTTGGCAACTGCAAAAGAGGCTGTGATAAACTCTCATTTGAAGGTTCAAGGGGGGGGGGTTGGCTGAGAATCCATGGGGCTGAATGCTGGACTTGGCAGACGAGCGGCCTGAAATACTGAATACCCTCGGGCACTGCTGGTAAGCATGGGTGAAATTCAGGGCGTCCTTTGTCGAGGGCGAGAACGACGGGGCCAAGAGATCTGCGAATGCAGCCGTTTGACAGTGGATGACTGGAACCGTCTCAGTGGCGTGAAAGAAGCATTCCAGCTTGGCGCTCAGGGGAGTGTCTCTCTCTCGCGGATACCTCGAGCAAATTGCTGAAGATGACAGAGGACGTACAACAGGGCGCAGAGGGCTTCGCCAAGTTTTGCCCCGTCGTGGCTGATGGCTACCATGCGTCAGCAGTCTGATTTCAGAGGCCCTCCACCGTTATGTTACAATTTCGACTACGGCGGATGGTGAGGGACATTCCTTCGTTCTTGACGGTGACTCTCCAAAGGTAAATATCGACAGAGCGTTGTAAGTGCACAAGGTTGTACCTGTATTAGCCCCCGACGACAGCGGCAGAAGATGGACTTGACTGTAGGATGATAGCAAAACTCAGATGGCCGCGCAAGTGGTCTTATCCCGACTGTATCCGTACTTTAGGTCTTCAGGAAAGCTGTGCTATGCTACCTACGCAGGCCATTAGGCACCAGAGCAACGAGCCGAGGCGGATTGAGATGCTGCCATGAAGACTGCGGAAACTTTGAGAGACTTAGGTGACGATTTCCCCAAGATACCAGGCGTGCCAGGCTATCGGGTTAAGGTACGAATAGGCTGTATCCGTACTCCATAGTTATACCCCGTAGCGGGGGCGGGAATACATACATTCCTCAGTTTGTGAGGGTCGGCGGGACCAGCATCCTGGCGTGTCATTTTGGCGGGGTTGAAAGTCTGAGATGGTGTCCAACTGGACATATTGAGTGGAATGACGTTTCTAAAGACTGCAACTCGTCTGCCTCAACAAGAAAGAATCTGCAGATTGATTCTCTATTTAAGTGGCACGAATCTGTAGAACGCAACGCATAGGCTCGGTGAATTGGCCCTGGTAGATGTGCTTCGATCCAAGGCGAAGGCAGTGTAGGTGGCCGTGATGCCGACAATGATGTAGCTGCACTGATCAATGGCGACGGGCTGGCCTGGTCGATGCTCGTCATCGCAAGTCTTTGAGAATGGCAGAGGAAGTCGATATATGCGCCACGACGATTGTCCAAAGTTTGTTGTACATAAAAAATGTTGATTAGCGAGAGAAGACAGTCTAGAAGAATCTAGCGTACGTCATTCTGGGGAATATGTCAGGCATGAACAAGTATGAAGCTTCCGGGTGAGGCTTGCTAGAGTCTGTAGCTATGCAGCCTTGCCTATCATCACCCCCTGAAGGAGGAATTGCGCTCATGCCACAGCTCTATGCTCTGGAGCATCACCGTCGACGTCGACTTGGGCCATACTAATTTGTCGGTTACGGGGTACGGAGTATGGTATTCTGAATCCGATCTCGATCGCAGAACTGGCTTGACTCGTTCGCATGGCTGCCAGCTCAGCATTGTGCCATTGTCTGGCTGGGTCAGATTCCAAGGCACTCGGTTTTGAGCTTTGTGAAACCTAGGTGCGAGCCGGGGACATCTCTGTTCGCAGGTGACCTGACTGGGGGAAGACGGGGAAGAGGGCTTTTGAACTATGCCATGTTGTCCAATCCAGAGGGATGGCCCTGGTAACGTAGTCCACGTCGCTGTTGTGTTTGCATGTGTAGCTGGAAATGTGGAGGCATTGTGAAGCGTGGGCGGGCATATGACTGCAGAGCGGAAAGACGATACAACAGCACGGCGCTGTGAGAGAAGGGAAGGGAAGAGAAGGGGGTGGTGCTGGCTGCATCAGGTTGCGATTGAGCTCAGTTACAAGAAGTTACAAGTTACACAACAACGGCGTGGCCAAGCACCCAAGATGCAAGAACCAACAGTTGCATCTCTCCTGCAGTGGGGACGCCAAATGCAAGCCCGATAGATCGACCCAGAAAGGAGGTACCTTACCTAACTCAGGTATGTACTCCAGGTCACTCTACCACCCATACCACCTATAAGGTACTTCGTACTTCAGCATGCATTTCAGGTCTCCCGATTCCCGAGCAGGGGGCCATCGCGGGTAAGATGGGGCACGCACCGGTACCCCAAGCAGGAACCGGCAGATTAACGACGCCTCCGGGCAGGTGTGTGCAACCATTTGCTACGAGGTGCAGCTTTGCTTTCGAGGCACCTGTAGCACCTTACTGAAATTGTATAGCTTGCTGAAGTTGGTGTAAGCTCGTTGGCTGTCGTCTGTAGCTCCCGTCTCCATTCGGTTGGTCAAATAACTATCAACTCCTAAACGGTCCTTGGCGAATTTCTTTTACCCTTACTTGATCTTAAATTTTTTTCCTTCCTATTTTTCTATCTCCATGGCCCTTTCCCAGGTTTGATTCTTTGAAAGTTTTTTTTTTTTTTCCCCCTTTTTCCTACTATGTCACCATGTGCTTGATCTCATCAACGGCATCTGCACTTGTTTGCTCTGACGAAAAACCAGCGTCTGACCCCCCTGGGATGGACTGAACATCCTTCTCGCCCAGCCAGTCCTTCTATTACCTCGCTGTTCCAGCTCCTGCTCTTTGACCGCATTGCGGTAGTAAATGGAAAACAGACGACTGGCCCCTCGGTCAGACGAATTCACACGACGAAACACAGAAGACTCAAGGAACAACCTTGAGTCCGACCTCGAGTTTCCCCCCCGTCGCACTTGTTCTTCAACAGCTCCACCGACCCGCCGACCACGTTCGCCCTGTCTCTCCTTGACCAAACTTCCATGATCGACAGCGGGCCCCCCTGACCTTCTTGACGTCTAATAAATCAGAACCTGGAAGCTCCTTTCCAACCCACGACTACCTGGCCCGGATTCCCTCCTCCGCACCCGCCGACAGCTTCCCAAACTCAAACTCGCTGTCTTTCTCCCCTCTCTTACCTCATTGCGATTTCATCCCGCCGACCTGCCCTCCGAATCCACCTTCCGACTGCTTTAAACCACCCGAGACGCTGTCAGAAGCGTCCCTCTGTCACCATGGCCGACTCCGAACCCTTCCCTCTCCTCAATACCTCTGTCGACCAACTGCATTCTGCTATCGACCACGCCCCCAGCTCGTCACGAACAACACGGCGACGAAAGTCAAGCGCACTCGGCCAAGATATCCGCGCTGGCGATACAGGCCCAGCACTTGCAACAGCCCGAGACAACACCTCCGTCACACTTGTAATTACCCCCCATTGGATCCCATCTCTGCTGGTCGCCCCGGGCCTTATTCCTATACACTGGACTGTGTCCAACATTCAACTAACCTCTTGTCTCCTTTAGACTGTTCCTACAAAACGTCCCTCGAAGCGCCGGCGAGCTCGTGGCGGCCTCGCTCGAGTTCGACAAGCCATGACCAAACACACGTACCTCGTGCCCGCCCTCATCATTGGCCTTGTTCTGGCCCTTTATATTGTTCAACCAAACGACTCGAACCCGCTTCATCGCTTTATTTTCCTCTCATACCGCTTACCATCCGACCCGCTCAATCCTGATGCCCCTGCTCAATATGGTAAAGGCTTATGGGACATCGCCTTTGTGTCGTTTTGGACTGTGGTCTTGACTTTTACTCGGGAATTCATCATGCAAGAACTTTTGCGGCCACTTGCTCGCGCCGCCGGAATCCGCTCGCGTGGCAAGCAAGCTCGTTTCATGGAGCAGATGTACACTGCCATTTATTTTGGCTGTCTTGGACCTGCCGGTCTGTACGTCATGAGCAAGACGCCTGTCTGGTACTACAGTACGCGAGGCATGTACGAGGACTTTCCGCATATGACACACGAGGCTGGCTTCAAGTTCTATTACCTTTTTCAGGCTGCGTACTGGGCTCAACAAGCAATCGTCTTGCTGTTGGGTATGGAGAAACCCCGGAAAGACTTCAAGGAGCTGGTTGGTCATCACATCGTCAGTCTTTCTTTGATTGCTCTTAGCTACCGCTTCCACTTCACCTATATGGGACTGGCAGTGTACTCGACTCACGACATCAGTGACTTCTTTCTTGCTGTAAGTAGACGCTATTCCATGTGAGGCCACAAAGCCAGAAGAGGCTGGTCGGGAAGCTACAGGCAGTGCTAACTCATTCAACAGACATCCAAGGTACTGAACTACATCGATTCTCCAATTGTCGGTCCTTACTTCTTCCTCTTCATGTGCGTTTGGATTTACTTGCGCCACTTCATCAACTTGAAGATCATTCTATCTCTGTTCACAGAGTACACCACTGTCGGGCCATTCGAATTGAACTGGGCCACTCAACAATACAAGTGTACGCTGTCGCAGTACATCACTCTTGGACTTTTGTCATCACTGCAGGCCCTGAATCTTTTCTGGCTCTTCTACATCTTCCGCATTGCCTATCGATTCCTTCGCTACGACATCGCCGAGGACGACCGCAGTGATGCAGAAGTCACTGATGTCGACGACGAGGCCGAGAAGAAGAAGAAGGCTCTTTCCGAGAAGACCAATGGCCACGCTACCGGAGTCAACGGCATTGCGCCTCAGGCCAGGCTTGTTAATGGCCGCGCATGATAGAAACCCTCGATAAAGAACAGAGCAAAGAGAGGATGCAAACCGAAGCACCGGAGGTGTTGTCGGTTGCCATTGAATCTTTCGCCTGCGACTGATGTTACAACCGGCGGACATACCCAATCGCTGCGAAGAAAGACGGGGGGAGACACCAAAACATGTCGAGCACCTATTCATCGCTATCCGAAGTCGCGATAGTCTGTCAATTTGGAACAAGAAAAGTGGCTCAGCAATTACCGAAACGTGGGGTGCGGAGCGTTTGAATCGCGACACGTGCTGGGATCGCGCCTCCTTACCGCATTGACTTGCACACATTCTTACGAAGTATGTGCATGCGCCGAGGGCACAATACCTGCCTGATGAGTTCCAGAGAGACACTCACTGGAGACAGTCATTCTGTCAGACCGGTATTAGGCAAGGAATCAAGACCCTAGACATTAGAAAGCATACGGCCTCGGGTCGCTGATCGGTTAGCACCGGGAATGCTTTTGCAAACAATCGGCATCTCTGAGGCTTAGCGACAATGAGCCGAGGTCAAGGCGTTTGTGGCCTTGGTAGTGGTGGTGGTCGTCCCGAGAGGGGTGCAAGTGCGGAGGCAGACGAAGTGAGACAGATGTGCGTCTGTGGACGATGACGGCGCCTCCTCCTGCGCAACCAGGCAACTTGACGGCATCCTCCCCACACCGCCTGAATACAGTCTCACACCCACTGAGCTCTCGTGCTCCTTGTGCTCACGACATCCGAATCCACATCTCACTCATTCCCTCCCACCCTCGTGATTTCCTACCACTTTAGTACTTCTGGGAACGAACACAAGACGGGAAATGACTCTTACCAGACTGAGACATTTCCCGGCCTAGGCTTGTAGGTTCAGCGACAAGACTTGGAGAGATTTATGATGGGTCGGGAGGAAGTTTCGCGAAGGAGTAGACTAGAAAACTCGGCTATGCGTGTGCGAAGGGAGGCGGGAGGGTAGTGAGGCGTGTCGTCATGTATGTAGTCTTACACCGGAGAAGAATGTCTTGATGTCTTTGGAATCTCCAAAGTCTGTTCCTCTATAGTCAATACCGTCTATACACCCATACCAACGGTTTCAGAATAGTAGTCACCGGCTCAATCCAGCTGTATGCTCCATTTCCGGTGTAATCTTCACGTCAGATGCACACAGTTGGACACGCAGGACTTTTTGAACCTATTTTGAGCATTGAGCATTGCTGGATCGCTCCCGGCGCAAGGCCACCTTGCGCACGGGGATCGCTACCGTCTATGGACCTTGACCTTTGGGTTGCCGCGAAGCTACCGAGTGTAGCTACAGTCTCCCATAAAAAAGCAAGAAGAGAGGATTGGCCTGAACAGCCGTCCGCCGGCTCTCTTTTCTCATCCACCCTGTCCGGTCTTTGATACTATGACTAGGAAAAATGCAAAGCAGACTTGCTGAGGGTTCCTCCACAATGAAGGGAGGATCCTTCGTCCATCTACACCCACTGCGACCGCGTGGGATTTGAGGAAAAATGATAATGATGCTGGTCCGCCGCCGCTGCCCGAGGCCATTTTTATCCACCCCACGACCTCTGAGATCCAACCCCTTCTGGCCACCCAAATTGATCAGGGACAAGAAAAAGAAAAGGGAGGCCTCTTCGAATGTAAAGAATCTGGTATCTGCGATGCAATGTCGAACACGCTGCCCATGGTAGCAGGTGACGATCTGTAGTCGAAAAACAAAATCTTGTTGCTGGGAACCCATGATTAGTGGAGAAGCCGTCTCTCCTGTATAATGATGCTGATGATACCGAAAATGCCCTGTCCAATCCAGAAAGAAGAGACAAGTCGCTTGTCGCCGCTGTGAGGACACATAGTGTGTTGTCAGCGCTGGATGGGTGTGTCGCAGCCATGTGTCCGTAAAGAGCGCTTCTGGTAGCGAGAAATCGAGAAAAAGAAACCCCCCACCCCCTGAAGAGTAACCGACCGAGCCTGACCGAGAGACCGTTTCTCGGGGTCAATGTTTTTTGTTCTACTCGTGAAAGTCCTTTTTTGTGTTTTCGGAATCCTGATGATGAAGGGGTAAAGAAATGTGTGAACTCCAAACTCCGAGTCGCCGGTTTGATGCAATCTTAAGCCGTTAATCCGTTAAACCTGAGTCGTAAAAAGGCCCAAGCCTTGGTGTGTTCGTGAAGGGAAAAATGTGCGGTACAATTTGAAGGTCCGCAGATTAGGGATTAGTGAGGGATGGTGACGATGGGTGGTGTGTGTTGATGTGGCTGTTGAGAAGTAGCTTTCGCTAGCAATGAAGCATAGGTAGCCAAATTCATGCCTTTGTCACACTTGTAGAGATTCTGGCTGGAGGAATCAGTGTCGTCGAGAATGGTGCGAGTCATCAGAATGATGTGAGCGATCCGAGTGGTGTGAGTGATCCGAGTGATCAGAGTGATCTGAATCGTGGTGAGCACTGTGTACCGACTCGGCATCAGAGCTGCTAGAGCTGGACGAGTCCCCCGTAGTGCCGGCCTTGGAGTTGTTCCCTGAGCTGCCTGGAAGGATAGTCGAGGAGTCAAGGCTAGTGTATCCATCCGAATGTCCATCTGTCTGCTTCTTGAGACCACCAATATTCGCCTTTCTAAGGAGCTTTTGTGCCTTCCTACTAGCAGCACGAGCTTTCTCAGCGGCGCGTTCTGCCTGCACTTGTCGCTCCCACATCGAGGCGTAACGTCCATTGGCGTTGACAAGTTCTTCGTGAGTGCCCTTCTCAGCGATGGTGCCGTTGTTGAGAACAATGATCTGATCAGCATGCGTAATGGTCGACAAGCGGTGTCTGCAAGCTAAGTTAGAAGACATAAATTGTGAGGCAGAAAAGGGGAAACTTACGCAATGACCAAGAGTGTCCTGCCCTGACCAAGGTGGCCAAGCCGATCTTGAATTTGTTGCTCGGTGTGGGCGTCAAGGGCTGACGTTGCTTCATCCAGCATGATGATCTTGGGGTTCTTGAGAATTGTCCGTGCTATTGCGACTCGCTGCCTCTCGCCACCACTGAGTTTCAGACCACGCTCTCCGACCTTTGTGTTGTATTTCTCTGGGAATGACATAATCCGGTCGTGGATGCTGGCAGCCCGGCATGCTTCAAACACCTCCTCATCAGTGGCTGACTGGTTGGCGTATCTGAGATTGTACATCAGGGTGTCGTTGAACATTGTGGTATCCTGGGGGACGACTCCGATGTAACGTCTGACCGAATCAATAGTAAGGTCCTTGACGTCTTGACCGTCAATCTCGATGCTTCCAGAGGATGTATTGTAGTACCGGAACATGAGGCGGAAAACAGTCGATTTTCCACCGCCGGATTCGCCGACAAACGCCGTGGTGGTGCCAGGCTTACACTCGAAGTCGAGGTCCTTCAGAGCCTTATTCTTTGGATCGTAGTTGAACGCTACCTTGTTCCATCGGATGTTGCCGTTGCATTCAAGCAAGGGTTTAGCATCGGCGTCGTCAACCACGGTGGGCTTGACTTTGAACAGCTCCAGCAGACGCTCGCCCGAGATCATTGACTGTTGAATGGTCCTGTAGAAGGACCCGAATATGTTCAGAGGTGCCTGCAGCTGGTTGAGGAAGGTCATGAGGGTCAGGAATCTGCCGACATCCATTCCTCCATTGGTGACCTGATAAGCTCCAAAGACCATGACCACAGTGAATCCAGCCATGAAAACAAAGGCTTGAATGACGTTCATCTTGTTGACGCCCCACGTTACCTGCTTTTCAGCATCCTGGTATGCCTCGATAGCGTTGCGGTATCGTTGAAACTCCCACTGCTCGGCATTGAAGTATTTGACCGTCTCGTAGCTGGTGATGGAATCATTCTTGACGGCCTCTTCTTCTCTATCGGCGTTGGACATGAGCCTTCGCTGGTCTGCCCTGGTCTGTGCCATCCTAATAGTGAGGAATAGGTACCAGAAAGTCAGGCAGCTCACGATCGCGCCATAAGTCGCGTCAAAGTACCAGCAGAAGAACACAACGGCCAAGAGCAGATCGAGGATCATGGGGGCCACCGAGAACGTCACTTGCTCGAGAAAGGAGTTGATAGACGCGCCTTTGTTGAGGGCGGACAAAACCTCGCCGGTTCGCTTGCCGAGGTGGAAATCCAGGCTGAGAGAATGGACGTGCTCGAAGGCTGCTGTCGTCAAAGCCCTATACGAGTTTTGTGAGATTGGTACCCATAAGATGGCTCGTGTCGCATCCAGAAGCATGCCTCCTCCTTGCAAAACCCGTAGGAAGATGAGCAGGCCCAAAATAGCCCAAGGAGCCTCTGCGAGGGTTAACTTCTTCGTGAGCCATCCAACAACAATTGGTACAGCCACGTTGATGGCGCGCTGTGCCACCAAGAGGAGTACGCAGAGTGCATAGAGAAACTGCAGGTAAAGAGAGTTCTTGGGCCACTGGTAATCGAAGAACATCGTGTAGCTTCGCAGGTAACCCCACCACGTCGTTTGCGGCGCTTTGTCAGGTCGATAGAAGCCCGGCTCCTTATAGTCCTTAGTCATGTTACCACCTTCGGCCGCACCATTAGTGTTGCCGACGGTACTTCCATTCCTAGAGCTTCGTACTGATCGACCATTCAAATCTCGGCCGTTTTGGCTGCTGTATGACGTCCGATGGCCGTTAAGCAAAGGCGTCGTTTCCTCGGCGCCTTGAGACGAGTTTTGCAGCTCAGTCTTGTCTGCCTCCTGTTTGGGCGTGTGGAGCCAAGCAGCCGAGTAGATGCTGAGCATACACATTGTGAGTGCGATGCGGATGATATAGAGAACGACGTCAGTCAAATCCCACTTAGATATATGCAGCGTTCTAGTCTCGAGTTGGGTTGTTTCGTCGCTTGCAAATCTCGGGTCCGCGGCCTTGAGCAAGGTGCAAATGCAAATGACCAATTCGCCAATCAGAGAGAGAATCCAGGTGAGGAAGTGAGCTATCGTTGGACTTTCGTTCCATTCGAAGAGTGTCGTGATGAGGTATAGGTAAAGGTTCGGCGATCCAATGAGGTACACCTGTTTCAAATTAGCCTGCGGGTTGGAGCATACATGGGGGATAACTTACAGTCATGGATTGGGACTCCTTATGTCCCTTGATGACGCCCTCGAGTTCTCCCATAACGTAGCTGAAGTGAGCGACGGCATTGGCGACGAACGTCAATAATACGACGACGGAAATCCAGGTGAGCCATGATCGGGATGTTGGTGACAGTATCGGACCGTATTGTTTGCGTTTGGGTTCCTCTCCATCGCGGCGCTTCTTCTTCTTCGATACGGGTAGTCGCTTACCGCCTGGGCCCAAAGGTTCTTCGTCCACGTCGTCTTTCGGTGTCGTCAATATGCTGTGTGTCGCGGCCGAGATGACGAAGACCAGCAACAACAACAATGGGTAGTATAGTAATGTCCCCTGGAGAAGGAAGCAGTAGAACGGGTCATCCTTTCGGCAGACCTCGTTCATTCTTGCCTCGTCTGCGGTCGGCATCGGTAGGGGCAGCTTCTCAACACCAGCCATGGTGTGGACTATTCAGAGGATGGAAAGTCAGATGTCAGGAAGAATAATACAAGGGAAAGTAAACCCCCCTGCGCGGGTGAGAAAGAGAGAAAGAGAAAGGAAAGAGGAAAGGAAAGAGAAAAGGAAACAATAGAAACTTACAATTCATGATCCGGGAAAAAGGGTTAATGATTTCATACCTTTGCCAGATATGACACTTGCACGTCGAAGATGGGACGCAGTTGGCGTCGTTCCCGTGGCAAGTTGGAGGCCCGATACGGTGCGGTACCTCGATGTGTACGTCGCAAGGAAAGTGGGAGTCCACAAGAGAGACGCAGCCAGAGACACGAGATCTCGTTTCGGGACCAAGATGTTGGAGCAAGACACCAATGACTGGAGACGCGAGTGGTCTGGCAGGCGATTACCCGCCCGTCTAAAAGGTTCTGGGTCTCGCTGGATGCAGGTGGCACCGGGGGGAGGTAGGGGTCTCGAGCGCTGAGACCGGGGGGTGTCGTGCAAAGCGTGCGTTCCCAAAGGCTCGTGGTGCCGGGGTTGCAGGTCGAACCCACAGGACCACAGGGCGGTACAGAGGGGCCCTGTTCAGTTGGAGTCGTGGTGGGGTCGGCTGACTTGCTCAGTGGCGAAAAGCCACTCCGAAGTCCCTGGTAGTCGAGTCAAGGAAGAGTCAAGGACTTGTAGGATACTCGGCGGCCGAGGGCTGGTGGGGCGGGGGTGTTTCTGGCGAGTAGTGGGCTTGACTGCAAAGCAGAGGCAGGCTGTGCCACGATCTGAGAGGCAAGACAGGCGCGGCCCTGGGTGAGGTAAGGTGGTAGAAGCTGGATGACAGAGTGGATTTCGCCTTGGGTTCGCCGCCACAAGTGAGACCTTGAACGGAGGGAACCAAGGAAGTGAAGGCTTGTGACCCGGGTGGGTATCCGTAAAAGTTGAAGAAAAAGAGGAATATCGAGAGGCCTCGGGTTCGGAGACGGAGCGTGACGTTGAGAAAGGTATCCGTTAGGTACAAGTATTTGTGTTGACGAGACAGCGGACAAGCTATCTAGCTGCCGAGAGCCGGGGTTAGTACCAAGATTTACCCTCTTTGATTCTCTTCCCTCTCTCTCTCTCTCTCTTTTCCGCCGGGTTGAAGGTGTTGACGGAAGTTCTCAACCGGGTTTTCTGGTCGAGAAGAGGAGGGCAAGTAAAAATGAAAGTCCCGGGGAGGAGGTTGCGGGACTGGGAGGGCGTAAGAAAACAAGAAGGGCGTAAAAGAAATGGGATATGGAGAAGAAGAAATTTAAGAAATCGAGAGGAACTAGAAGACCAAAGCGAATGAAAACATGTGGTGGAAGGTTGGGAAGGTGACGATGGCGATTATTGGAGGGAAAGAAGAGTGGGAAGGGATTATGGCAGGAGACCGCCTGAAAGCAGGTACCAAGTACAGAGTACAGCGCCCACCTGCCACACATCGATTTGAGGCAGGCACGGATCGCCCAAAGTAGTAAGTGCGATCCAGGCCTAATGCCACATCCAGCTGTACCTTCCTAGCTGTAGTGAACGGAAGGTTGTACCTCCCACAGCAGACGTAGGTAGGTACCGGCCCGCAGTACCTTAGGTAAGGTGAGGAAGCTGTGTACTCCGTAGCGCAGGATGAAGCCTAGCTGCCCAGTACGCCGAAAAGTACGGATACCCAAGCCTAAATCAAGGCCAGGTCGGCTAGGAGGGAGGAAGTGAGGCAGTAGAGCTGGGCCCGTACTCCATAGTTTGTGTAAGGCAAGGCAATGGAAGGAGAAGAGAAGGTTGGGTAGTAGTAGAGGCAGCCCGGTGAGGTAAGGCGAGGTGGGATGGGGACACTCAAATTAAGGTAACGAATGGGACTTACAAGTTACCCCAAAAGGTACCTCGACGTATCTGTAATATCGGATTGGCAGAGAGCGAGCGAGGTGTACCGTGTTGGTGCTTGGTCTGCCAGGTTGTTGTCACAGGCTCAATTCCTCCGTTGGTAGGAGATGTGAAGCCTACGATGGCAGCAGCCACCAGATAGAGCACAGAGGGTATCGCGTCTGTAGCGCAGTTGTGGTTGGCAGTAGTGGATCGACGGTGTGTCGGTGTGGTGCTTGTTAGCGACCAGCAGCGCAGCAGCGAGGCAATGGGTGGCTGGTGAGGTAGACCCGGACTATCGCTTGTCGGACTAAATGGTTCGTGAAAATGGATATCGATGTGAATGTATGTGAGAGAGCGAGAGGTGCTGGCACCTGCAACTGGCACCTCGGTGGGCAATGGGCAGTTGTAACTTGTGAGTGAGATGAAGTGGGCAGTGGCCGGATGGTTCAGGTGAGAAGGAGGCAGCGAGACTCGGAGAGGAAACAAACGAGAGTCTGGAATCCACACACAGCGCGTCTATGTGGGGACCTGTCCCGGCTGGTTTGCGTGAGAAGTGGAGTACAAAGTAGTGGCCGGGGCTGATGCTGGTGTTCTGCCGGCGTTGTGGTTGTTGTCAATGGCGATGATGAGATCCAATGCTATGAAAACCGGGACGGCTGGCCCTGTCGTATGGACCCAAGGCACCTCATGCACGTCGTGGAAAGGTAAGGTAAGGTAGGGTAGGTCCCGGAGATGGAGTGAGCAATCCCAATGGCGGGTGGACGAAGGAATGGACGATTGGATGGTTGGGTGTGAGATGCTCAAGGTATGGTAGGTAAGGTACGGGCACGTAGGCAGTACGTAGAGTAGACAGATGGATGATACGGAATGCGAGGTGTAAGTCGATGTAAACGGAAGCCAGACAGCTGTGAGTTGCTAGGTGCAGCAGCAACTGCAGCAGCTTCTGGGCCGGATGTCAACGAGGGCCTGGACTCGGTTGATGGATGGAAACAGGAAATCGCCAAGGGTCCTGCTGTGCGCCCTGGTTAGTGCCGGGGCTACTCATGCATATGATATTGCTCGTAGGGGCTTTTTGGGGCCGTAGGGAGAGCACGGAACATGGAGAGATGGAGATGGAGCTTAAGATGGAGGGGATGCGAACGGGGGATGGAGATGAATTGGGCCCCCAAACAGGAACCGACAGCCAGGGGAAGGCAAGAAAAAGTAACACATCCGGATGCTACGCATGCAACGCGAAGAGAAGGTTAAATGCGGAGGGGGGGGGGGGGGATGGGATTTACGGATACATGCTCTAAAAAAAAAACCACGCGATACAGGCTCGGACAGATTTGGGTGAGAGAGAAAGCAGTATCCAGACGAATTGTCCATCTGGAGACAAACGACAAGGACACAGCCGAGGACCCAGTGACGATTCCAATATAAGAAAGATTGGGGTGTTCATTGAAGAATAAAGTGGAGGGATATCCGCAGTAACTTGTGACGATGGAAGGATGATCAACGTCGGTCTGGATTCCCTTTCTCTCGTCTGCTCTACTGTATTTGTCTCTCGCCCGTCTGAGATACCTAGATCATAGAGATACCTCATCAGGACAGACAGTCCAAGCAGAGGTGGATAAGGTAGGTAGGTAGTCAAAAGGTGACATGACAATCCGAAATGCTCGTGTTGAGAATACTCCGTACACACTCTTGCATCATCAACTGTCGATGCAAATGACAGCAAGAGGCTGTGCCAACGTGCCGGTAAGCCGTCAGGTGCTTCCCAGAGTCTCGAGATCCCATGGTCTTTGACCGTCATGTCAGTGGTGACCAACAGCCGTAGCCGTGTACGGTGGACCATAGTTCCAGTGACCCAGAATAGCGCATCTCATCTCCTTCTTACCTTTCTGTCACAGGCAAAGCGGAGCGGGGCGGGAGAACAGGTTGGGATGAGGGATCTGAGTCCCGAGACCACACACACCTTGGCTTAGCTCTTGCGATCAAGGGCACTAGAGCCTATCTTTGCAGACAACTCGACAAGTAGAATGAGCAGTTCGAGAGCACGGAGCGAACACCCGACCACCACTGCGATCATCAAGGAGGTGTTCCCGGGAAGCCTCGAAGCGGAATGTTCTACGGAGTACACAGGACGGGTTTAAGACGGTGCGAGACAATGTTGCAGCTGACGGGGGGACGAGTGGGAGCTAGTTGGGACGACCGAGGTCATCCAGTCATCTGTTTTGTATGGGTAGTTCGTCCTTGATCTAAGGTAGCTACCCGGCATTGCTTAGTACCGCTCTTTCCTAGGCTGGCGGTACAAAAGTAACAAAAGTCTATGAAAGGTATCCGCAACAAGACGCAAGGGCACGGGGAGCTTAGAAGGGGAAAAAAAACGGAAACACGGGAACGGGAACGTCCAAAAGAATGACGGCACGCCGCACGGTAGCAAAGAGAAAAAAAAGTAAGACGAAGAAATACGTAACGATGGTGAGGGATGTTGAGAAACACAAAGTCACAAAGTCATTTTGACGGATGGGGCCCCCCTACCTAATAAGACCCGGAAGGAGGAGACTGCGAGAGAGGAAGGGGGAGAATCGAATCAAAGATTGTAGCATCCAATGTCCCTCATCGACCCTTGTTGCTTGCAAGTTCTGAATAGAGGCAAGTGCGAATGTACCCAAAGGTTAGGTCCTACCAGCCAGCTAATGAGGGGTCCTGCCAGTCTATGAAGCATCTTACCAATGGGGTATCAATCTCTCTCTCTCTCTCTCTCTCTCTCTCTCTCTCTCTCTCTCTCTCTCTCTCTCTCTCTCTCTCTGTTTGTATTCACTCAATTATTGCTTCCATGTCGTATTTCTTTTTCTTTTTCCCTCCTTCTCACTCGTGTTGCCCTTCCTTCGTCTTACCGACAGCATAGATACTCTTGGCCCCCTCCATCTTGAAGCTCCTGCTTCGAATGGGAATTGATCCAGAGTGCCGTTCATGGCACCAACGGAACGAGCTAAGTAATAAATTGGCTGTCATTGCATGGGACTTGCTGCATCTGCATTCGACCACACGCGCTTGCTGCTGCTGGAATTCCTGCCCAGTCCCGGCCTCGGGCCTCGTCGTGTTGTTTCCGGAGAGCTTCCGATGCGTTCCTGCCATGCCTGCCGTGGTAGTGCTGATTGGGCGTTTGTTCGTTTGGTGTGAGACTGTGAGTGAGGTGAGGTGAGGTACGGTTGTCGCCGTCCAAGGTAAGAAGGTAGGGAGGTACTCAGTACTGAGTGAGGTACGGATACTTATCACTGCGGACGGAGTAATGGCTTACCTTACCTTCCTTACTTGCATTGCCAGCTTCCAAGTTGCAAGCCCTTTCCCTTCCGGCCCCATCGCTGGTCCCATTTGGAAAGGGCCTCAGCTGCGGAATGAAAGGATAAACGGGAAGGGGAAACACCAAACCCTTGACCGATCCTTGCCTGCCTTGGACCTCCCCTCCTTCACGCCTCCTCGCCGTCTCCTTCCATTGACTTACGCAGTATCTGTATGCCTCGAATTCCTCTCTTTTGCCGACCGTTCTCAGATCGAGCTGGAGTACCTACCTACTCAATCCATTGCCAATTCAGCATTTATTCTCTGGTTTCATTCACAACCGATTCCTACCTTACGATGATCATCCTTGAAAACAATTTAGCCGGGTCACTTTGACCCGTCCAGTCACCAGTGTGGTCTGGCACGGCTGGGTCAAAGGCTGGCTTACGCCTCTAGCTAACCAACTGACGGACTGTCACTTCGCCTCAACTAACTCGCAGACTAGCACACTTTCTCGACGCCAGGTCTACCTATCTCTCGATTCTACGAGTCCTCTGACTGCCATGTCAACATCCTCCCTTCTATGTATCCATACGCAACACGTGTGGAATGTTTCTTGCTTCCTCGACCCCACTTTGCTCGAATTGCCCGATGCCTCCGTTCGAGATGCCGAATCACTCACTGTAAATACGAAGGAAAACCAAACAAGGTTTCCGGGCTTGCGCACGCAAAACGCCAAGCAAGAACCTATTTCTCTAGATTCTAGACGTTGTACTGCCACGACAACGGGCAACGGGCATGTATGTTACAGGAGTCGTCCTCGGCCGAGATGCGCACCGACACCTAGACGCAAAAACAACCGCTTGTCAGCCACGACAACCTACAATATCAGCTTTCGCCTAGCCGACGCAGCCTCTCCGATCCGCCGCCGCCGCCGCCGCTCTATGACTGGGTACAACCTCCTTCGTCGGGTTCTCTTTCTTTCTGCCCCGGCCTCGGTTTCCCAGCCCGTATCCGGTGTCAGCATCCGTCAAGGATGTTGCAAAAATGGAAGACCATCGAGCAATCATCAACCTTGTCACTCACGGCTTCTAGAACCCCTGGAACCGCCTGCACCGCTGCCGTCACTGCTTGCGATGTTGTTGCGGTTGATATCAGCCCGCGCTTTTGGGTGGTCAGAATCCCATCCAAACGGCTTGCATCCAGACCCTTCTCACCGCTTGAACTCCACCATCAGCTGCGTTAGCAGACGAGGGCACAGTGACTGCAGCCGCAGCGTGCGTTTACGCATGCATACACCGGACCAGCAAGTGAGCCTATGTGCCTACCCACCTGTGACCTAGACACGTTCAGGAGCACAAGCAGGTCCAGGTCCGGCACCCACCTTCTCAAAGACAGGCCGGACTACCCCTGCAACTCGGCGGCTTGGATCGTTCTCGAGGTGGTGAGGTGCTGTTGCTCTTTGGCTGAACCGTCCGACGCTTTGTGGCACTAGATGGTCACTGGGATTGGTCGGGCGCCCAACAGCCTCTGG